GAACCACTTGAAGTTTACCAGAAGAAAAAAGAGAGTCAAACTCTTGGAGAACTTGCGCTATTAGAGGGTGATGATCATGCTGTCCACATGGAGGGACTAATTATTAGAGAGAGAATCCTTGGTACTGACAACACAGAACTTCGTTTTCCAATTAGATACCGTGGAGCTGTTTTTGCTGATTCTGGCAATTTTGATCTTTGCATTGGTTTGTGGGGACATGCCATGGAGATTGGCCAGCGCTGTAATCAACCAATCACAGATGATCTCAAGATATTTGCTGACTTCTTTTGTCACATGGTGCAAAGAAATTGCCTTCCAAAGCAAAAGTACATTGAAGAGGTCTTTGAAAGAGCAATCTGTGAATATAAAAGACTCACAGAAAAAATGCAGTCCAAAAATCTTAAAGGGGAACACGAAACTAAAGTGCTCAAAGAGGAACTTGAAAATGTAGTTTATCGTGCTCTGTATCTTCTCACAATCTTTGCCAAAGTTCAGGATTCAAGTAAAACTGAAAATTCAGCTCTGTTTGATCTCATCGAAAGGTTTCTGCGATTGAATCCTAGGACTCTTGAAGGTAATACAATGTTGCATTTAGCTGCATGGTCGAAGACTCCTACAGAGGAGCATTATGTGCGAGATGTGTGCAAATTTCCTTGCATTGCAACCATGAAACTCATCATGAATGCTGGTGGATATGTAAATGCTGTCAACAACAAAGGAAACACTCCTCTTCATTTGGCAGTGACTTATAAACCCAGCACTGGAGGTCTACAAGTCTTGCGAGATGTAGTGGAAACCCTGTTGGATGGTGGAGTTCATGAAGACCTTGTTAACAGTGATGGCAAAACTGCCATGGATGTAGCTGGAACAGATGAGGCTCGCAGAATTCTTTCTGCTAAGAGCAGACTGGAGTTGAAATGCATTGCTGCCAGAGCTGTGCGTAAATTTGGATTATCTTATTTTGGTGTGGTTCCTAAGACTGTTGAAAAATTCATTAGTTTACACTAAGGGATTGACCTTTATTAACTCTTTAACTCCCAAGATCTCATTAGTAATTCTCCTTACTGTCTGTCAAACAATTCTCATTATATTAGTTTGGAGAATTTGGCACTGGATTACTTAGAAATCCTATAATTGATATTTTTCTTTATTCTCATCACTTGTCTGCATGATATTGTATAGATATAGTAAGGAGAAATTCTGTTTTGGTCACTCAAGGGAGTTCAAGGGTTAATAAAAGATATGTAGGAAGACAAGCTGATGCAATTTAAATTGCAAAAATTTGAGGAATCCTCACCGTTTTGGTGAAAGATGAGAAAAAAATCCAACATAAGTTACAAAACATGCACTACAAAAATACAGTGCTTATATTCAAGTGAAACAACCTGCTCAAATATTTGTTATAAAATGGGACCTTTCAGCTTCCAGTCTAAACCATTTAATAATGCCTTTAAGAAGTAAAAGAAAACTTTTTATGCACAGGACACCTTTCACTTGAGTTTAGATTAAATTGCTCTTCCATTTAAATAAAAGTATGGATGTAAGAATCTGTATTATCAATGTCAACATAGATTTTTTTTATGGGAAACTTTTCAGTAGCAGTGTCACCTCAGATCTTTAATGGAACAACATTTGGAATTTTTTTGCCTTTTTGTGTAAATAAAATAGTTAAATAATTACAGAGATAGATAAGAATGTATTATTTTTGCAATACCAATTTCAACATGAATAACAACTATTCTTTTTGTTGATAATAATATTACCTGCTCTCTTAACATCAGATCATCATCTGGGGACTTTGTGTCACCTATCTATGATGGTTAACACTGAATGCAAGACATGACTTGTGAGTAATCTATCTCTTGTTTGAAGGGAACTGACTTTCAAGAGAAGGCATATAGGCCTAGTTTAGTTCAAATCATTAGTAATGATTACTCTTGCCAGAATATTTATCGAGATGTAATACCCAGTTGTTCCCAGAAAAATTTTGCAATACTACACAGCATGTTGAGTTGCATGTACTGAAGTATAATAATATTTAACCCTTTCACTTCCTGTAAAAGCTGAAAAAGAATTTCTCCACACAATGTGGAAACATTTTCAAGGCAGTGAGAGGAAAAGAAAAATACAATTTAGGGTGTACTGGTCTATTCAACTCTAAATTTGTGGAGTATAAGATAAAAGAAATGCATAGCAAAAAGTATAGAGAATTGATGTTTTGATATTGGGAGTGGAAGGGTTGATATCTTAGATAATTAGGATGTTAAGTGAGTTCTGATTGGTCGGGAACCTTCATGAATGTATTAATTCTACATGCATGATTTCTTGTAAATTTAGATAGACTTCAATGCCTACAAGGATTGTTTGGATCAATTTAAACTTTAGAAAAAGCAATAAACTGCCAGTTTGATTTGTTTACTGACTGGATTTTGCTTCAATAAGCTATGATGTTCTTCAATGCCATTTTTTGGACTGTAGATCTCTTTTTTAACTGGTGGGTGTAATTATTATTCTTTAACAATCGAAAAAATTCCCATTTCTGGCCTTGGAATCAATTAAAAACAATTGAATTGTCACCTAAGTGCTAATCTGCATACATGCGTTTAATAATGATCATGCCTGCTATTTTGAAAGGGGTCTATACATGCTATTTACAATCATCGTTCTGGTTAGTTAATTAGCAAATGCACTGTATAATTTTTTGGGAAATATGTTTATTTAAAATTTCAGTGCTATGTGTTTTTTCTTCATTTCAATGCATCATTTGCTATAAGGGTGTTCTGAGTTCAAATTTCTTTGAGATGTACAGTAGTTGCCAGAAACATATTTGAGTCCTCAGCAAAACTCAGGGAAAGTCATATTAACTAGATGACTATCAACTTTGCTTTTCTGCAAATCTAGATGCAAAAAAATGATCACCAAGATTGAGACTTTAGCTGCAAATCTAGATGCAAAAAAGCTTTTCCTGACAACCATGGCAACAAAAAAATGGTCAAAGCCTGGAGTGCAGAAAATAACACTTAATTTAAGGATTATGTGTAAAGATGTTAATGAAGAAAATGGAAAAAAGGGCAAAGTAGTATTTACAAATGACTTTATTTCGATCCTGAATTCAAACCTTTTAAAACAAGATCTCAAGAAAATGTATTAGTTATTAAATATCAAACATAAGGTAGGTGCTTGTTACCATGTTTTGACCAGTAGACAAAAAATACTTCCCCCACCTCCCCTTTTGGTAAGCTACCTAATGACTGTATTCTCTGGTTGAAAGCAAAAAAAGATACAAAATATCAAAATTTATGCTAATGAACTTATTTTAATCTCAGAAGAATTCCAGTCTAGCTAAGCACTGCTCTCGGGCATTGTGTCTAATTAACTTAGTTTCTGCTCCCTCTTATTGCCTAAATTGAATGAAAAAAAAATGCTGATTGAAGGTACAGAAGAACCCAGCTAACTCAACCTCCCCAGTAACTCGAACAAGATCCAATTTCCTTTGACCCCATTATTTCAGTCTGCTTACTCCAACCACTTTTTGTTTCCTCGAGGAGTTCAATTTAGTGTGGTTCTTCTGTGATTTTAATAAACTCTAGCACTGCCCCTGTGGTTAACCTTTATGTGGAGAACATTAAAGGCACTTTTTGATTGGGTTCCATAAAACCAAAGCTAAAATAGACCAATCTGAAGACAAGGAGAACTTAGATTAATATTGAAGTTAGATTAAAATCGAATTAATAAAGTGTAAACAGCTTTAAGGGAAAGAACATGAATGAGAATATAAATATTGGTTTCATTTTTTGTATCTAGTTGGTTGAGAGGCAGGCAAAAGTAAAACTGCTGCGTGCCTATGATTTTGTCATCCAGTCACAACCTCCATTCACTACTTGGACTCAGTGCAACTAGATCACTGTTTTAACTAGCAGTTGGCTTCTTGCGAATCAGTTTTTCCCACCAACTTTGCTGTTTTGATTTCTTCTGAAAATCTGGAGGAGAGAAAATAGGTTATGTAATGTACACAAATAGTTTTGGAAATGGTGAGGGTTTCAGTTAAAATTGCATTTATTTACATCTTTCACTCCTCAGAGAGAGACTAACATTTAATTTCTCCTTACAGTATCATATGCTGAGTAAACCTTCACTTTATTTACACAGTGTAAGACACAAAGTAATACCTGATGAAAGATAATATGAGGCAGCCTCCTTACAATCCTGTACATTGTTTGTAGTAAATGCTGTTTCTTTTTGACGGGGGTACTGTGAAGTAGAAATTAATTTGCCAAGCAATAATTAAAAAAAAAACTTATACAAACTTCAGAATGATCAAAATTTATCATCTCTAAAGGGTAACGTCGACCATAACTTACGTAATTTAGACCATGATCAGCTTTAAACTAACCTTATTTCTGTAGTAGTTTGAACTAATCTTTAAGAGACTGTCCAGCATCTTTTCAGCCTCTTTTGGCTGAAAGGATAAATTTCAGCATTAGATACTCTAAATACAACCATCAAAGAATAAAAATTTACCGTTTACAAAATAAAAAAGGCCATAAATGACGTTAGGAAGACAGTAAATTACTTTGATACAAGCTTATATTCACATAAAACGAAAAGCTAAGGAGTTTCTTTTGACAAATCTGCATCTATTTAATGAACCATTGGGGAGATCGCGTAGTTACGCTCTTTTAATTATTATATCTAAAGCGCCCCAGTGCAGTTCAGTTGCAGGTTACGTAAGACAACAGCAAGACACCCGGGCCAGATTGATCAATGAAACAAGAAATCTAAGAGCTTACGTCTATCTGGGAATTCTTTATACGAGGTACAAGATTCCCTTTCAGATGTTCTCCGAGATCCCTTCCTAACCGATTCTGGTCGACCGGCCATTGCTCGCAAACTTGCAGAAACCTCTTATAAAGTTTAGGTGCGAGCGCTTGCCTTGACGCCATGTTGAATTTATGCGTACATCCGCTGATAGAAGGCTCACATTGCGTGGTTGCTCGGACTAGCCGGATTAACGCGATGAAAATACACGATAACTTTGAAATTTGATGTTTTAAACATTTATGTTGCTTTTTACTGATGTGATCATTTCTGACTGATGGAGTTTGTGGAGTATATCAAATCACCGCGTGTTGACAATGTGTATCTCAAGCGCAGAGGATTAGCTTATCTGGAAGGAACTTTGTGCGTGACAGGTCATCACTTGATCTTCTCTTCTAGAACAGAACACAAGGATGAGCTCATTGTAAGTCACTTACTAATAACAATAGCCAGCAAATCATTTTCATACGAACTGATTGAGTTACTTGAAAAGATTACAAAGTATTCAGAGTCAAACTTGTGATCTGGTTAATGTTTAACTTCAGTATTATGACGTTCAAAGTTCCCCAGGGTATACTCCTTGTGACCTTTTTGGTTTTTATGGTTGAAGGTTTTTGAGGTGATTTTTGCTTACTCTTCAAGCTTGTTCTAAAAAATCCAAGAGAGGGGCACATCTGCTGAAAAAAGGAAAGAAATTATTGATAATTTTCAGAACCAACTATCTGAATATTTACCTTCATTTCCAAATGCAAATATGAAAAACATTTCTTATCATTCGAAGAGTTGTCCTGGTAACCCAATTTAACCAGTTGATATGAAGCCTTAAAATTCAAAGGCAATGAAATGAAAAATAATTTGAGAGATACCACAGTTTCTATTAAAAATTAAGCCTGAAAATGTGTCTTCAATTTACTAAGGCTGAACATCAGAATATCCATTCACTAGTTGTATATCACTGAATTTGAAGTACACCTTGTTGGATAATTAATGTAGCATTCAACAGTTTCATCCAAAATGATGCTATCTTAGATATAGATCTACAAGCAAGTGACAAAATTATTCCAACAGTCAACCCTTTAACCTCCAAGATCCCATTGGTAACTCTCCTTACTGTCTGCCATACAGTTCTTGTGATGTTAGTTTTGAGAATTAAAGGATCAACTAACAATCCTCTAACTGATATTTTTCTTTATTCTCATCACTTGTCTGCTTGATATTGTATTGATATCGTAAGGAGAAATTCTGTCTTGGTTACTTATGGGAGTTAAAGGGTTAAACTGCAATCAAGATAGTTATTGGGAAAGAAGCCTTCTCCAGGCTTTGATAAGGATTCAACTTGTGCCTGTCACATGATAGTTTGAACCCTGTCCATGCCTGACTTTTTTTTTGTGCTTCTTTTTCAATCTCAATTTCTTGTGAGGATCATTTTGTAAGTTTCTGATTCATTCACAAGAAAAAATATGATTTATAGCAGAGCTTGCAGAGCGTAGCCCCATAATTATACAAAATAGTAGTAACCCATCAAGCCAAAAAAATTTGGTTGTACGACCGTACACCCATACGACCGTACGACCGTACAACCGTACAAGGTGCTACTTTTAACATGCGTGGTCAACTGTACCACAGGCATGCCAATGCCATGGCTTTGTCCAGTGGTCCAGTGGTCAGTGCACTGGGCTCCAAGTCGGACAACCTGGGTTCTAGTCCTGGCCAGGACAAGGCGTTGTGCTCTTGCGACATGCGGGAAAAAAAATGCGAGCTCCGCTTTTAGGCTCGGCTAAATCTATATATTATTATTTATTTTTAATCCATAAACTTTTACCTTACCAAGAGAATAGGATTAAATTACCATACATTAAAAAATGGAAATAAAACAAATTCAGAAGGACAGCCTTCTGAAATTATCTAAAATTACTTTCAAGTCAAAATGATTTTGAGGTAGTTTTTATTTTCCTTTCCTCTATACACATTGTCTTAAGAGAAAAAAAAGTATATATTTTTTTTTCCTATCTGTTTGACTTGTAGCTATTGCACTCAGCAGTGGAACAAGTGGAGAAAAAAGTCAGAGGACAGCAAGGAATATTGACAATCTGTTGTAAAAACTTTGATTTGGTTAAACTGAGGTTTGGCCAAATTGAAGAGGCATTGAATGTAGCTTCCTCTATTGAAGTTCTCTCAACAATTGGTAAGACATACAGCTGAAAGGTTAAGCTGTGCTCTACTGCATTAGACAGTTATTCACTCACATGGGTTCCTGGTGTAAAATCTTTCGTGATTTTTGACATCAACTGAATATTAATATATTCAGGTTAGAGGTAGTTACAGGCTATTGGTGCAAAGAAACAGGTCAGAGAATATTTTTTGCATCTGAATTAGAAATAATCACATGGAAATGTAGCAGAAGAATTCAAGGTAGTGGCTTGAGAATTTTCCAATCTTGGATGTGTAATGAGTATTATGAACACTCTCAGACTGCTAAATCAGTCTAATTTCTAGTGTGCCACTTGGAAGGACAGTTATTGCCAAACTCTTTCCATAAGATGCAATGTAGAATTATTTCTGACTAGCAGTTTGGGTTTGATGTTATGACTGTTGAAAACTCTTAACAGCATGTACAGTTATTTTTGATTACAGCCCATGTATTTTGCATAAAATTTATACCATAGTACATGGTTTGAACCTGGGGGGGGGGGGGGATACATTGTTTATAGTCTGATTGTCTGGGTATGTGTAGTCCTGAGAAGGACTGTTGTTAGTAGTAGTTACTGACTGTTTCTACAACCTGAGCAGAAGTCATCATTAGAGTCAAGTCATGATGACTTCTGTTCAGGTTGTGGAAACAATTATTGTCACTACCAACAACATTCCCTCTCAGTACTTCACTAATCCTGGGCATCATATAAATATATACTACTGAATATTCCTAACTACAATATTTGACTGGATCAGGGTCTAGTCCTAGTTATACTCACATATGGAATTGTTCATTCCCCAGAAAATACAAATCTGAGATATCCTTTTTTCTACCGACACCTAAGAGCCATTGATGAAGATGGTTGGGATTTATTTAGTACAGAAATGGAATTCTCAAAACTCTCTGCATTGACACAGGGCTGGAGAATCAGTCATGTGAACAGTAATTATGAGGTAAGTCCTTTGTAAGTTATAAATTGCAGATATATAACAACAAAAGAAGGCACCTCAGCAGAAGAGGATTGTTTAATAAATTCTCTACCATATTTTATGTCTTCTTTAAACTAGATATGAAAAAGCCCTGTGTAAAATGTATTTAAAAAAATAAAGATATTTTCAAAGGAAGAGAAAAGGGAAATAAGTTAAATTGGAAACTTGCTTGGAGACCATCTTAAAACCTTTGTAAACACTTTTTTTTTCAGGTATGCCCAAGCTATCCAGCTAGTGTTGTAGTACCTGCAAAGATGTCAGATGATACTCTGAAGGCATCTGCTCAGTTTAGACAGTCTGGAAGATTTCCTGTTCTTAGCTACTATCACAAACGAAATGGGGTGAGAATATACATTTCATCACTACAGTGGGGAGCCTGATTTAGCACTGCCTTGTGGTACTCATAGTTTATTTCATAGACTCTGACAATTTAGGTACATGCTTGCTTTGAATTTGGTTTTGTTTGTTGCGCTTAACATACATGTCAGTATCTGCCGCACACCTCCCTTACATGTATGTATGAATTAATCAGTGACTTTGAATTAGTCTACTCTGTGTTGAAGTATGAATGCATGCACTTTATTTTACTGTGAATGAGGACAGTATTAAACTCATTGCAGAACAACAATTTTTCTTACAGCTGTCTCTGCTCTAGGATCTTACCTTATTTTTGTTTTAGGGCTGATGTTAAATTGTAACTTAATGAACATTTTGTTGTTTACAGAACAGCTTCTCTTTCAAAACAAAACCTCAAGCAAATATAATTGCATGATACACAGGTTGTTCTTTTAAGATGTGGTCAGCCATTAACTGCGATAGGAAGTAAGAGAAGTCGTGAAGATGAGAGATTGGTCAATGCTACTTTAGGTGGTGAAACTAAAGGAGTTATTATTGACACAAGATCGTCCACTGCTGCCATGAACAGCAGAAGCAAAGGTAATGGAATATTATATATTAAATACTCTTAAAAATTAACTCTTTAACTCCCAGAAGTGATAAACACGTAAGTTCTCCCCATAATATCCATACATTATCCTACAAACAGGTAATGAGAATACTCAAACTTATCAAATAGAAGTAGTTGTCTTGATCTAAGACCAAATTCTCGTAACTAAGTTAAAAGGAAATGTGAAGCAGATAGAGGGGAGAATTAACAAACAGATCTTGGGAGTTATAGGGTTAAAGGTAAAGTCTGTACTTGGAGCCAAGTGGTCCACCAGAGCTTATTTTGGTTTCCTTAATACTACTGAATGAGATGTTATTTACTCCCAAGTCATTTCTCTTGAATTTATTTAACCTTCTGGTCACATGACTACCAAGTAGTCAGGTAGCTTATAATTTGTTCTATCACTTTACTTCACCAACTGATGTAACAAATCAATCTCAATTTTCCAATGTCTCAGACATGATGTCGACAATGCTCAAAATTTTTGTGGTGAAACTACTTGGCTGTACCTTGTTTGCAATGAAACAAACACACTTGGGTGTGCCTCATGGCTTCACTGTAATTATGAACATTGTTGATGTCATTTCTATGATTAGTAAGGTTGTAGACATTGGAAAATTGTGGTAGATTTGTTAAATTGACAATGGATCTTGATCACAGAGTGCACAAGAATTTCTACCAACAGCTATTTTAAAATCTTCCAATATCTGACGAGGCATTTTGCTGAATGATCTGCACAATGTGGAGGATGATTTTTGTCTGTGTAAACTTTTTGGTGATGGGTTGTTTGTTTATTTTTGCAGGCGGAGGAGTGGAGCCAGAGTCACATTACCCGCAGTGGAAGAGAGTTAATCAAGGCATTGAGAGATACCCAGCGCTCATTGATAGTATTGCAAAACTTGCTGAAGGTATGTACATTCACAATAATAAAAAGCAAAAATGTTCATTCCATGTTCTGAAGACAAATGGTGTAGAAGAATCTGACAAGAACAAATTGATGTGCATGGAAATCTTTTGGCTAAATGGCTCAGCCTGAATAATACAGTCCAAATATTTCCTCAAAAATAAATACTTACCTTTCAGATTCTTCTAAACATTATGTCTTTGGCACATGGGATAAACATTTTTGATTTTGGGAATGCCCAAACAAGCCTTACTGCAGTTTGACAGTTGACACTGTCTGTAGTTGGAAAGTTAGGTAATGCTCAATATTGTGGACAACTGTATGTCTGCATGCAATAATTCAATGACATACTTTGCCACTACTGATAGAAGTCATGATTTCAATAAGTCTTTACCAAGCAGATTAATTTAATATAAGTGATGCAAGAAAAATAGTGGATGGGAAGCCTATTTATTAAATCTCTGGGCTCAAATAGAAGGAGAAAATTTCAATTCAAAAACAAAATTTGAATTTAGCAGGCCATACAGTGAAGTATTGTTTACAAAATTGACCAATCTTAGGGCTCATATTAACTGAGAGATGTAACAAAATACTGCTCTTGATGAAAATCAATGAAAAGCACTCTAAATGAACAACTAGTGTGCTAATTATTTCAAAGCCTCAGTAACTGGTATGATTTCATGTCAATGTTATGGGAAATAACATTCAGTTATAAACTGAGAAGTTTTAGTTTAGTACTGTGTTTAAACAACAGTGGAATTGTTTGGGTTTTCAGCCAGTTTGGATCAAAAACTCAGCATGAACTCATGGCTGTCAAAACTTGAAGCAAGCTCCTGGTTGGATTATGTTCAAAGTGTTTTATCAACAGCTTGTTACATAGCACAATGCTTGGATACACAAGGTACATTTAAAACCCTTGAACTCCCAAGATCTGATTGGTAATTCTCCCCTCCAGCTGCTACACATATCCTTGTAAATTAGTTATGAGAATTTGGTGTTAGATCAAGACAACAACTTCTACCTGATAAGTTTGAATATTCTCATCAGCTGTTTGCTGGATAATGTAAGGATTTTATTGGGAGAAATTTCATGTTGATAACTTCTGGGAGTTAAAGGGTTAAATATGACTCTGTTTTGTGTGAAACTGAAGGGAAAAAGCCTTTCTCTATTGTGTAAAACCACATGGCAGATTGAAGAAAATGATATTTCTTTTTTGTAAACTGTGTATCTACAAAAGAGCACTTTCATAATCAAAGGCATCGAATAATCATAGATTGACAGTGACACTTTTATTTGAAACTGATAAGAGTGGTTTTGTTCAGTTTCTGTCTTTTCATTTTTGTAATAAAATTGGCACAGTACATTGCTATTAACCATGCAATAATGGTTAAAATCCAATTTAGCCCTTTAACTCCCATGAGTGACCAAGACAGAATTTCTCCTTACAATATCAATACAATATCAACCAGATAAGTGTCAAGAATAAAGGAAAATATCAATTTGAGGATAATTAGTTGATCCAATACTAAGTTCTCTGAACTAACATTATAAGAATTGTATGGTTGATAGTAAGGAGAATTATAAATTTGATCTGGGAGTTAAAGGGTTAATGCAAAATCCAGCCTTTCCAAAGCTGACTCTTCAAGCACCAGGTCTTCCTCAGAGAGAATGAAGGGCTTTTGCTCGAAAAGTCTGATTTAGAAACTCTTTACGGGGGACAATTTACATTTAATCAACTCAGCTGATAATACAAACATATTTATGGCAACAGCTGAATGGTTATTTTCAAGTCAAAATTTTGTTCTGTCTGGAAGCTAAACACTTCAGTCAATGACCAGCGCAGTTGATTCCAATTATTATCTTGCTTATTAAGGCACAACTGTGTTAGTACATGGTGATGCTGGAACGGATGCGACGTTACAAGTGACATCATTAACACAGGTTCTGTTGGACCCTCATTGTAGAACAATAAAGGGGTGAGGAAAACAATTTTATGAGTTAACTTTACAATTTATGATAAATCTTGGTTTCTTCGTGTCAACAGTTGCAAGTCAGGGATGGTGGAACCTATTTCACTTTAACTGAGGAGGGGGGGAGGGGAAAAGGGGGGTCGAGGGAGGGGGTGAGGAAGGGGGTTGGGGGCTTGTAAAAGAAAACACAAGGGGCCGCGAGTTTGTCGAAGGGTCCTCCCTCAAAAAATTTCGAAATCTATTCTCCATAATTATCTCATATTTAAACAAAATAAAATATCATCCCAGTAAAAAAAGGGGATTCAGCTACACTGTCCTTGCAAGTGACATCTTCACGGAAGCATGGCGATATTGTGCTCATTTCACTGCATTTTCGTGTGTCAGTGCAGATTTCTAACCATTTCCCGTGATCTTATACAGGTTTGAAGGGCTGATTGACAGAGAATGGCTGCGTGGTGGCCATCCATTCGCGGAGCGGTGCGTCAAAGTGGGTTTGTCTACAAATAGGTACAAGGGACAAGGCCCAGTTTTTCTCCTCTTCTTGGACTGTGTTTGGCAGGTTAGAGTGATATTATTATAATATAATATAATTATAGTGGCTGTTGGGTAACACGCAACATTCAGTTGAAAATGGCTGTTTAATGCCAGGAGGATAAGGTGATTATCTAACACTAATGTGTTGTTTTCTTTACTTGTAGATTTACCAGCAGTTTCCATGTTCTTTTGAATTCAATGATCGCTTTCTCATCGCACTTTTTGAACATGCATATTCCTCACAATTCGGTAAGTAACCTTCCTTGAAAGATAAAGCCGAGTGAAAACTTTCCTTGTACTGAAATATGATATAGTTTCTTATTTTGATACTCAACAATGTTTTTGTCGTCAAAGGTACGTTTTTATGCAATAACGAAGGTGAGAGACAAGCAGCAAAGCTAAAATCCAAGACCATTTCTTTATGGTAAGCTACAAATGTGTTTTTTTGTTGTTGTTTTTTTTATTTTTTTTAACTAAGTATTTGCCTTGCTTTCCTCGTCTAACTGTTCAAGGTAATGCCCCTTCCTTTTCCTGAACAACGTGGCAAGAACATCATTGACACACTCGGCTTGGCCTTGTGTGACACTTTTTTCTTCTCACCATATTTCGACGTCATCTGCGATCTATTACTGAACAGGCGTAGGGCATCATGGAATATATTTGTTGAACTGATTTCGAGTTGTCAATAATTATCCACATCTTCCTTCTTTCCTTTGCACAGGTCGTATCTGAACCAAGCAGATATCCTGAAGCCTCTGTTAAATCCTATGTACGAACCCAACAACTCTGTTCTGTGGCCTTCTGTAGCGTCTCAAAGTCTTGTAAGTCCACAGATCTTACTGAAAGTTATTAAATTGAAGGAAAAGAATGTTTGTGAAACTATAGAATATTAATCTTTGCCTTTAAAAAGCATTGATGAAAATTTGCTCTTTAAGGCGTTTTCAGATGTAAAAGAGTTTAATAGCATTTTGGAATTTTGTTTTCAATTTTACTAAAATCCGACCTTAGAGGTCGCCATTTTAATAATAATAATTAAAAAAAAAAAAAATTGGCAAGGTCGTTCACATTTTCAATCCCTTTCTACAGGTCCTGTGGCCAGGTTTATTTTTAAAGTGGAGAGAATCTAACAAGAATGAAGATATCTTATGGGAAGAAGTACGAAGAATACAAGCAATAAATATGGACCTGAAAAGCAAGGCTATATCGCTAAGAAGGTAACATAGAAATGATGACGTAGAGTAATGTCCACTCGAGGACTACATAAGTTTTACTTTTCTTCGCTTTGTGATTGGTCTAGAAAACTCGCATCAATTTTTCAACCAATAAGGTGCAAAACTAAACCTTAACGCTGTGTGCACGCTCACCTTTTCCCGCTCTTTTGGCAGTTCGCCTGCTTTACTCTGATTTCTCATTGATCCTTCGATATATTCTCCTTTGTTCCGATTGCTCACCACGATTACTTTGTTTGTAGTGCTAAGACACTTGTGGAAAAGCGCTTGAAACATGATGGAAATATTGTTCAAAACCAAAATCGTGCGCACTGAATTCTCAATTTGGTTTTTGCAACATAGGATTAGAAAAGGTTACCGTGATAACTCCGTTCCAGTAAGTGTTTCCTCTATTTTCATTTCCAATTTTTGTTTTACTCCAGAGAATATGCCGAACTTCAAGCTAAAGTACTGGAAGAGAGAAGAAAATGGCAAGAAGAGCGAGATAAAAGAGAAGACCAAGGCTTGTAAGGAGAGAACTGTGGTCAAACTGATGTTGCGCGCCTTCAGTTAGGAATGTGAAAGACGAATAGATAAGTACTGCGATCTTCGCTGGCATTAGAAGAGATATACAAATTTACCCTTTCTCTCCAAGGCGTTTCCAAAGAATAGTTTCTCCGAACAATATTAATGTACTATCAAGAAGACAGGTGATGAGATTGAAGAAAATATAATCAAGGGCATACATTTTGATTTAACAACCAATTCTCGTGACTAACATTTTGAAACTTTGTAGGGGGGACTGCGGGAATAACTATAGTTCCGGTAATGGGTGTGAAAGTGGTAACAAAGATCGAAATGAAACCATGTCAGTGGTAAAGAGTTGAAGTAGACCAGAGGTAGATCAGAGGATCAGTTCTCCACGTTGGTACTCAAGTTATACTGAGACCGGCTGCCATCAGCAACAACAACAACAACAAAACTTTCTCTTCGTGTTCTTTACATTTTACAAATTATAGGAAATTTTACACGTAATGAAAACCAAAAAAACAGCAATAGTTAAAATGGTAAAAAAAATTATCACAGATCAAATATTGTTAATGGAGAGGGCATAGCCATTTAGAAATAGCGAATGTTAGTATATACTAAAACAGAGTATAGCGTTCTGGTTGGCTACTAGAATTCCTTACATCCCTTGCTGGTCACCTCCATGCAACTCGTATGAGATTTGCGCCCGAAAATATTTTTATCGTTTCAGGAATAAATTAGTTCAAATCATCTCTTTGAGCGATATTATCTCAATGTGTTATTATATACTAAGACAACCATTCACCTCGGAGTCGGTGACAAGTGGTGGATATTTAATTCGCGGCTCCGCGGCTCGATGAATATTTACTACTAGCCACCGACACTGAGGTAAATAGCGGTTAATTATTTAGACGAGGTGACTAGGCCATGCATCTGTATATTTAAAAAAATGCGGGAGAAATTGGACATGCACCCAGTCAAGTGTTCGAGCACAAGGACTGTGCATTCATTGTAGTATTACTACTTAAAAACTAGATGAGAGCTCAAAATTTCTGTGGTGTGATAGTGAGGGTGAGGCTGATTCATCTATCGTGAATAAAAAATTGAGAGCGAATAAACGAATTGATCTGTAAAAATCAATAAGTTTTTCAAAACTTGATAACAATATAGTCTCATCGTTTTTTAAATTATTTTTTAACGACTACATGACTTCCGATAAACTTCTGTTCTATTAACTGACTCCTTGTTCTTTTTTTATTCTTTTAAATCCATTAAATGTTCGATACAATTCTTATTCCAAGGTTTTTTGGCGATATGTTCGCCATCTTTTTTCGCAAAGTGAGAAGCTTCTCGATCAACTATAATACATTGGGAGTGACATTTTTGAGCTGGACAAAAACACTCTGTTCAATAAGTCTTCGAGCAGGAATGAAACTTGAAGTGAAATATTACTCCATTAAATAAATATACTTTCATTAAACAATTTCCAATATTCCAATTAAGATAATTCTAGAAACGCCCTGTCGATGATTTAATTAGCAATGCATAACAAGAAAAATAGACACAGTATGTAAAATGATATTTTTTGCCTGTACCGGAGTTTCGTGAAATTTTCATGGCTGCCGCAATTTGACGTCGGGTTACATCAAAGTAATTATAAAATCGTGCCACTGTCGAAAGCGTTAGATTCGTTCACCTAGCTGCATTCGTTCAAACAGAATCGAATTAAAATCCAGCGGCTTAAGGATGTCCTCGTACAACAGTGCCAGTTCCTCATCACTGAGTTTTTTAGCATTCTCGGTGAGGCGTGAGTCGCCTTGTAGTAAAGCAGGATCAACAGAAGGACACGGTGCACTTTGGACTCGCAATCGAGGCTCTATTTTCTTGGGTCTTTCAGCAGATGGATCGCTCCCTCTACGCAAAGCTTTTACTTCCTGAGGCGGCTCTCGAGCGATTGTTGTGAATGACCTTGGTTTTCGCAGCTGATGGTCTGTTATCGTCTCCGCTGGCTTTGTGGTACAAAATGGACCCTTGTTTTGTACATCTTGTTTTTCTAATTCCTGTAGGACTGACGACAAGCTCGGATAATGATCGATGTCGATTATTACACTCATAATGTAGTTTGAATTCCCCTTTAAAATCTCGGCTCTCGTTATGTCCAGATAATAGTCACCTTGAAATGATTTGAAATATAAGCTGGTTAGACCTCCGTGTTCCTTTCGGATGATCATGGACTGGTTTCTCCTTACGTTAGTCTTTCACGTAGCTTATCATTACCACAAAAGGCAAAGCCATCTAACATTTGGTTTCAAACTCTCTTACGTCATTAGAATGGCGTTCTTTCTCAGAAGATGACGCTTTTGGGCGGCAGTGGCTATTTTTAGCAATAGGAATTCCTTGTTTTATTATTAATATTCCGCTGCAAAACTGCTCCGGACAGTTCTTTTTTTTTTTGTTTTTTTTTATATCATTATTTTTGTTGCTTTCAATACATGTAAAACCTTAAATTAATTTCTATGCTTCTATGAGCGAAAGACCAGAAGAAAAAAGAGCATGTGCGAAAAATGGGCGCGGGTCAGCCAAAGGAAAACTTGGAGATGGAGGACAGCTTATTGTCACCCAGCCGTTTGCCGCTTATTTCTTGGTTCGATCGGTTTTCCATTGATTGAGAGCCTGAAAAAAAGTAGACTAAGGCCAAGGGCGGAGGGGCAGAGGGGCAGAGGGGCAGAGGGCCTAACCAGCGTTTTGAAGCAACATGGCTTTTGCATATTTACGCACACACGCTTGTGAGATTACTTATCATATATTGTTCGTGTATTACGCAATGACACAGTTAACAGGTTTCACAGTGCACGTCAGGAACTATTAGGAAATAACTATTACGAAATATCACACTTCAACTTAAGTCATTATGGAGGATAGCTTATCGGTACTATCACACCTGGGAGCCAACACCCTATTTCTTAGCGGTATGTTAGTAACCATAACAACTCCGAAGTAGGAAGCAAGTCACCATGACATCTCTAGAGCAGGATTTGCTGATAACCCAGATGTCAGGAAGAGAGGATAGGACTGACGCGAGACAAACGGTGTGATTACGCCCATTTATGTAGCAGTCTCTTCCTTTCCCATTACGGTATAACGCTATCGACACTGAGCAGCGACAATATCATAATCATAACTTTTTTTGACGAGAGCTTTTTGTCATTTTCAGAACAAGAGCAGTCCTCGATGTGATCTGAGTTACTAAGAACTGAACAGAGAGATTCTAACAACTAAATGTGTTGAATTGTTCTTTTATCTTAACAATAATCCCCACAGGTTGAACAAATTTTGGGGAATAATTTTTAGATATTTCAGCCTCCTATTGAAACTGGCAAGACGAGGGCCGGTAGAAAATCGGACATATGACTGTAAGGTTCGTGTGTCGCGAAAAGCAAAAAAATTCACAGTTCACGCGATCACGGGGTTTTAATTTCGTATTTCTATTGGTCACGAAAATCCCGTATCACGCAATAACCCTCAGAGCCAAAGGTTTTGTAACGAGAGGGCCTAGGGCGGGACTTCTATGTCACGCAATAATCACGCAACATACTGTGGGCAGGAGGGCTAGACAGTCACTGTACGTGTTCATGGAAGGAGCTTGCAAATGAAAGGGGGAATTATCGGCGAAATCGTATCATCATGACTTCGGTAACATTAACTAATCGGTAAGATTTTTAGCTTAATTTTTTAAAAGTGTTAATGGGCATTTCAAAGTTTCCTGTTAAGTGTAATTTCGCTGAAGATGACCAACGAGACTTTCCATTCTTATGCTGTCCATCCGAAGAAGTCCTGCTTCGATTAAACACTAGTGATCCTTGATAGCGGTCTTCAAAATGAATGACACAGACGCCAACCCAGCCCTAGTTGAGCCCTTTCTTTACTAACTTTAAAGGAAATCGTAATGTGATAGTCAATATCACTGTTCTTGTTTGTATTGATATTGTTTAGTGACTAATTTTTGTAAAAAATTTGTGTTTATCTTGATTATTTGCTCTGGGCGTGATTGCTAATTGGGACAGAGTTGGCCATAGGGGTGGCATAGAGGGCAGAACTGGAGTTGTTCCTCCTAGAGTGGGGTTGTTGACAAAATTATGTACAGGGATGCATTACATTTGAAAACCACTGTGGGCTATTGGGACCACCTGCAAAATGATGGTCACCAAATAGCAATGTATGCTTTAGTTGAGATCATTCAGAAAATGGTTTGAACGTAATTTGGTATTATCAACTGAATTGATAACATTAATTGGCCACCAGTAAGAGTTTCAAAGCTGATGTTTTGAGCATTAGCTCTTTGTCATGCACTCTGATGAAGGGCTAACAGTGTTCAAGACATAAACTTTGAAACTCTTAATGGTGGCCGATTCATGTTATCAACTTAGTTGATAATACCAATGTTATTATCTTGTTATACTCTCCCACCAACACAGCACCACAGTTTCTTTAGAAACTTCCCCCTTTTATTAGTTTGAATGTCCTTGATGCAAGGACACACAGTGAAAAATCTTTCCAACAAGTCTCTGAGGCCAGTTACTGCCCACCTTGTGAGAAATGAAAGTTTTTGTGAGGAACTGTCTCTGTGATCAGTTGCAAATATTGAAACTGGCTGGAAAGCTGCCTCTGATCACTATAAAAAAATTTGTTGTGGTGGCAAAGTTTTAACAACAGATGCCCTCCCATACGAGGTAAAGTTTTTCATTCTGCAACTTGTTTTAGAGCAGTAAGACTTGGCTCTGCATGTTTAGTGTAGTTTGTCAGGACTTTTCATCTTTTGAATGGCTTTTCATGTCTCATTTTCTCAGGGAACTGAAGAACAAAGCAACTGGTGTTGATATTCTGGTGCCTCAGTACGAACATATCCCAGGACCATTTGGAGGATCAGTTGATTATCACATAATTGTGGTCACACAGTTGTTTTACTTCAAAACACCCACTAAACACAAGGAGTCTGATATTGTGCAGTTTATGGTAAGTGCAAAAAATTACTTAACTCTTTTACACCCTAATACCAGTATGCATATTCTCCATGCTGTTCTCTATACATTTCCTGAGGTGCTGACAAGGAGAATTTGTTGAATCATCAAGAGCTTCCTTATATGGTGATCATTTCCTTTATTCTCATGACCTTACCCTTAGGGGTAATTTTGTAAGGAGAAATTAGATGCTAGTTACTCTTAGAGGTCAAAGGTTTAATAAGAAATTTTCATCAAATGTAAGTTATGTTCTTTTTCCCCTAACCTAACCCTTAACCCTTGGCATAAAGTCAATCGCTCTGACGAAGGGCTAATGCTTGAAATGTCAGCTTTTTTACTCTTTACGGAGGCCAATTTGCATTTTCAACTCAGTTGTTTACACTAAATTACCTGCTATACTCTCTCACTGATGCAGCATCACAGTTCCTTTAGAAACTTACCCCCTTTAACCCTTGGCATGTTACTCTAAACCATGGAAGTATTGATCATGGAAGTGAAATAAAGTGTACTGTCCTGAGTCAAGTCAGTTGATTGGGTATTTTTTGTCACAAACCATGGATTTAATGCTTTTGTCTTAAGTTAATTCTTTAATTCTAAGATCTCATTTAATAATTCTCCTTACTGCCTGCCTTGCAACTGTTATAATGTAAGTTCAGAGAATTTAGTATTGGATCACCTATAAATTCTCTGATAGATATTTTTATTTATTCCTATCACTTGTCTACTTGGTAAT